AGAGGAAATAGTGATTCATTCTAATTCAGGTAGAGGGCAGGAAATAACAGAATATTACCACAGGGTGGCTTTTATGCAGTTCTTCAAAGATAGGCAAATCTGAGAACTATGGTCTTGCTTATGCAACACATATTCATAGAAAAATTACAAAATGTAGATCCTCAGAAATAAAATCCATAGTCCTATGGAAAACAACCCTAATTTCACTACTTAGAAAAAAAGTGCCATTGTTAACACTGACTTTTTTGTCTATTTGCAGAGATATGCAGATTTATAATAAACATGCAGTTTTCTGTGTGTGTGTGTGTGTGTGTGTGTATATATACACACACACACACACATATATATATACACACAGAGAGAGAGAGAGAGAGAGAGAGATGGGATCTTACTTTGTTGCCCAGGCTGGTCTCAAACTTCTGGCCTCAACTGGTCCTCCTGTCTCCATCTCCCAAAGTACTGGGGTTATAGGCGTGAGCCACCACACCTGGCCTAAATATGCAGTTTCCTGGCACATTCCTTACAATATGTTGTGAACATGGTTGCATCTTTCTGGTATTTACTTTCAGGTGATAATACATCTTTATATGTTTATATCTTATTACCCAAATATCATTTTGTAGACATTTTATTTCCAGTTGTTTGTTAGTATGGATGTGTAAGATTTGTTAAAATGTCTTTCAAAAGTATATATCTTTGAGTACTTAGTTGTATCCTTGAATATTCATCAGATTATTATTATTTTTTTATTTTATTTGAGGCAGAGTCTTGCTTTGTAGCCCAAGCTGGAGTGCAATGGCGCGATCTTGACTCACTGCAACTTCTGCCTCCCGAGCTCAAGCTATTCTCCTGCCTCAGCCTCCCAAGTAGCCAGGACTGCAGGTGCTCCCGGCTCATTTTTGTATTTTTAGTAGAGAAGGGGTTTCATCATGTTGGCCAGACTGGTCCTGAACTCCTGACCTCATGATCTGCCCACCTCAGCCTCCCAAAGTGCTGGGATTACAGAGGTGAGCCACCGCGTCCTGCCCATCAGATTACCTTTTAGGAGGAATCCCTAGAAGTGGAATTGCTGAGGGCCGATACCAGAGTTACCAATGTTCTCTTTTCTCTATAATCTATTAACTTGTTCCAAGTATATCACCTTCTTCATGACATGTCCAGCTACTGCACCATTTCTCTGTTCCACTTTCAAGCAGAATAAGCCTAGGTGTTTAAAGAATCTCTAATTCTTCTCCTTTCTCTCTTAAAACCATTCTAATCAGGCTTTCCCCAGAGCCACTCCATCAAAACTCCTCTTGTCCAAATAAACAACCATCATGCCCCCCCACATATATACACTTACACACATTGTGTTAAATCCAATATTAAATCTCATTCATCATCTTACTTGATCAGACAGTAACTTTTGAGATAGATGATCATTTTCCCCTTCCAGAAACATTTTCTCACTTGGATTCCAGGACACCACACACTCTTGGTTTCCCTTTCAGCTCACTGGACACTCACTCTGCCTCCTCATCCTATTGACCCACATTCTCTGGGTGATCTCGTTAAGTCTCCTAGCTTTAAAAATCATCTCCTTGCCTATAAGTTCCAGCTAGTATCTCTTGTCTAGTCCTCACCCTTAAACTAAATAACAAATATCCAAACTCATGCACACTGAAAACTTACCATATCTATTACCAACTCCTGATCTTTATTCCTCCTGCTTTAAAAAACAAAACCCCACCCCAGTCTTTCCCTTCTCTGTAAATAACAATGGCCACCCCTGCAGCTGCTCAAGCCTAAGACCTTAGAATTCTTCTAAATCATTCTTTATCTTATACCACTTTCAGTTCTTCAAGAAATCTTACTGTCTCTATCCCTAAAACATATTAGAATCTAGACTCTCACCACTTTTGACACAGGATTTTTTTTTACCCCTTTGTGGGATCATGACAGGGACGCCCCATTTATGCAGCCCACCCCATTTGACCCCTCATGGGAGGGAACATGTAGGCAAGTAAGTGCAGGAATCGGCCAGTCACTTTAGTGCCAGCAGTACCAAACCTCAAGGCCCCAGAGGGCATGTTGCAATGCTCTCTTAGCTCCACCATCTGCAGACAGCAGTGTGTTATCAGCTCAGTGGGTCCTTTGCCTTGTCACATGGAGTGGCTGCCTTTCACCAATGAGGGCAAAGGGCCAGTGTGACAGTCTTTTTGGGTACCCTCACTTGGTGGGTCCCGAATTCTTGTCCAGTGCCCAAGAAGAATGAGGTCACACAGACCAGTTGAAGGATGGGGAATGTGAAGAATTTTACTGAGCAATGAAAGGGGTTCTCAGGGAAGAGGGGAGCTGGAAAGGCGATGGGAAGGGCAGGTCACTCTCCCCTGAAGTCAAGTTGCCTCTCTTAACATCCAGCCATTGTCTCTGAAGTCAAGTGACCTCTCAATGTCCAGCTGTTTCTCCTCTCTACCAGCTGAGTCTGGGGTCTTTATAGGCACAGGATCAGGGGGAGCAGGCCACAGGTAGATTTGGAAAAGGCAACATTCAATTGGTAAAAAGACATTCTTCAGAAAGAACCAATCAGGAGAGAGCAGGCAAACAAGATAGAAGTTCTCACTTTGAGCCAGGTGTTTCAGGTTTTTGGGCTTGAAGCTGGGGCTTTACCAGGGACCTGCCCCTGTCTGCCTAGAGTTTCTCTGCCTCCTGTCTCTATCTTTTACTGCTCCTACTCTGGTCTGGTATTCCTTTCCTGAATTATTAAAAACCCCTAACTAGTCTCCCTGCATTTGCTCTTAATCCCTATGTCTAGTTACAACACAGAGGCCTGAGTGATCCTTTTAAAATGGAAGTCAGAGCTGGGCACAGTGGCTCACTCCTGTAATCCCAGCACTTAGGGAGGCCGAGGTGGATGGATCACGAGGTCAGGAGATCGAGACCATCCTGGCTGACACAGTGGCACCCCATCTCTACTAAAAATACAAAAAAAAATTAGCCAGGCGTGGTGGCATGCATCTGTAGTCCCTGCTACTCAGGAGGTTGAGGCAAGAGAATGGCATGAACCCGGAAGGCGGAGCTTGCAGTGAACTGAGATCATGCCACTGCACTCCAGCCTAGATGACAGAACAAGACTCTGTCTCAAAAAAAAAAAAAAAAAAAGGAAGTCAGATCTTACCACTCCTCTGCTCAAAACTCTGTATAGCTCTTCCATTTCACTTAGAGTAAAAGCCAAAATTCTCCCAATGCTCTATAAACCCTGAACTCAATGTTACCCTCTAATCCCCCATAGATCCTCTCTGATTTCATCCTCTACTTTTTTTCTTCTAGTTCACTGCTTCAGCCCACCCAGACCTACTAGCCATTTGGTGAAGGAACCAGGCATGTGCCTGCCTCAGGGCCTTTACACTGACTGTTCCCTGGGTCTGCAATGTTTTTTCATCCAATGTCTTCATAGCTCAGTCCCTTGCTGCCTTCAGGTCTTTGCTCAAATATCACTTTACCTCTGAGGTTCTAAGTGATGTCCTCTTTTCAAAGGGCCTCCTCCCTTCAATGTTTACTGTCCATTCTCTGCTTTTTTTCCCATAATATTTCTCTTCTTCTGATACATTTTTTATTTGTGCAATTTGTTATTTTTTGGGACCCCAAAATGTATTCATAAGTGCAGGAGTTTGTATCTAATTTGTTCAATACTGGAAGAGAGTCAATGTTACAGACACATATTTAATACTTTTAATCCAGACCTCCAATTTGCTTCTAAAAAAATGAAGATACAGTGTTTAAATAAGCAAATGAGGTGGAGAAGGATGGCTCATGTTGAGGCCACAGTATTGACAAAGCCACTGAAATGCAAGAAAGCAAAACGGTGCGCTGGATGCCAGGTGTTTCTGATGCATCAAGGGTGGGATACAGGATGTATTTAAAATAGGAACACATAAATGGAACAAGGCAATATTTTAATGGAAAGCACAAAATCAGCTTACTCCACAATAAGAAAGATGATGATGAAATGAAATGAAAAGAGAGTTCCACACGAGGATACTGACTGAGGTACTGGGACACTTAATGAAAACTTTCACCACAAAAAAGTTGACAAAGTACAACAATCTGTTTGGTATGGCAGCTGTCTTTGAAAAGGTAGTGAAGGCTCTGGCCATACCACCCTGAATGTGCTGGATCTCATCTGAAAACGTGATGAAAACTATGGATTCTTCCAAGAAAATTGCACATATCTACAAAGTTTGGAGAGTCTATCACCTCCTGAAACCTATTCATGAACCACCATGGGCCAGTCATTAAGAATCTCAATCAAGATTTAAAAAATAATCCTGGTTAAGAAATATTATTTCAGCATGATAATCACTTGTACAGAAATGATGCTTAGATAAGGATGTGGGTGGTTGTAATATTGAGTTATAACATTTTGCATAGATCTTTTTTCTTTTTAAATTGCTCAGACTATTCTCCATAACAATTGTGCAAATCTTTGAAGCTGAAGTTTATTCCACTAAAAGATAATTCAACCACCATATCTTAAATGTTAAATAATACGTAGAATCAAGTATCCCAAAGTCAACTCAGTGAACATTCAAATTGAAAACTCCTTGTTTTAAGCTTGATATCAATACCGTTATGAAGTTCACAAGATAATCAGAAGGAAGACTATTTAGGTACTGCTAATTTGATTTTTTTACAAATTGAAATTGGCAAACATTCCATCCGAACGATCTAAGCTATGGTCTGTCTTCCGTACAACTTTATCATTAGGCATCTTTCATCTGTAAATTCAGTAAAATATTAATGAGTCTTTGCTTTTCTACCAAATATCTCTTCTCTCTGTACCACAGAATCCAGAAATAATTAGTGGGAAATTCAGCTTGAGTAGTTTTCCTTGGTCAGATAGGTCTCTAGAGAGAGGTGTGCTAAGTAAAGGGAAAGGCTCTTATTTACGTCCTAAATATAAACAGCTCTTTATTCACTGAGGCCATTCTTTGCACTGTAGTAATGCTAGTGCAGAAAACTCTCTTGTCTGAAATCTATTCCATATCTGATATCTGATGCCAACCCCTATAGTGATAAAGGCCACAGACACAAATCCAGAAGCACCGAATCTAAACAGTCAGTCCTGAGAGGTCTCTCTGGTTGGTTTCTTTTCCCTGTTGCCATTCATCAGAGGACGAGTTTACCAACAGCCATCGACCAAGCACATCCAAACTGGATCCAGGCCAAGAGCAAGCAGCATTGTTGAAATCTGGGCAGCAAGGTGGAAGGGTGGCCAGGGCGTCAGCTGGATGAAAACATGCGGGGACTGCTGGGCAGCAGCTGGAAGAAGTTTGGACATGCTGGCCGGGAGACATACGAGTGGTTAACCAGCGAGCCCAGCCCGCCTCTCTTGGAGACCCAGCTGCAGGTCTGTACTTATGACTTAAGTCCTTTTTTCCCCAAAACGTCTTCATCAGTTTTAAAATCAACAATACCTATAGTTTTAGGATCTTAAAATGTAGTGGTAGCAATTTTGTCTTACAGCTATAACAAAAATATGAATTCACTGATTGGCTTGGTCTAAAGGCAATAACTTGAAAGTTATACTTTTTGGACAAGGATACATTGAAGTAAAACTTTGCACACCTGTATCCTCCTAAGAACCCTTGATATCTGAAATATGTGGAAGAACACCTGAAACCAGGGGTCAACAGAGGTGTTACAACGGAAAAGCCTCAGTGTTACAACTTCGTTCTTTGCTCAGGGTGCAATGTCTACATATACAAAAATAAGAGACTCTCTTTGGTCCTGGCTGTGTATTAACCACTGTTTTTAAGTGTTAGCAGAAACCATGCATCTTACTTCAGGTAAGACAGCAGGGGGTTAAAGAGATTTTGTCTCTCACTAAGAAATGCAGCAGCTGCTTTTGCTTTGTCTGGCAAATCACCGGTGCAGTCTCCGTAGGAGGCAGCATTAAGGACAAATATTTTTACAAATCTAAAACCTAAGAATTTTATAATCAGAGGAGAAATGAGTGACACTGCTGACAACCCAAGAAAGAATGAAATCAAACTATTTTCTTGCTTTCTGGAAAACCAACTGGTGAGATTAGTATTTAAGTTCTCCAAAACCACATTTTACAGAAAAAATACATAAATATATATTGATATGGATGTTGAGATATCCTTTAGCAGTTACACCTTTAATTGGACATTTCTTGAAAATATCCCCTGAACAACAAATCCCTTTAGCCAATATAAAATAAACATCAGAAAAACATTAAAAGTTAAAAAATAACTTTGAGGCGGGTAAGCAAATTAGGATTTTTGACTAAAAAAGACATCCTTTCCACATTAAAAAAATCCAACAATTTTAAGCAACATACCATAAATAATTAAATAAGCAAATTAAGGATATTGTAATGAATTTGTCCGATAGCTCTGGGCTTCTCTTAACTGGAAAAGTCCTTTGTCTCAAAAAATTGTCCTAGTTTGCTGTATAAAAGTCTTCTAATGCCACTTTCTATGTGGACAAATTTAAATCAGCCAACAGAAGTACTGATTACAGCAGGGACTGTGGTACTTCTCCTTTCCCGAATTTTTGCAACTAGTATTGAGAATACCGTAAGTAGCATAATTATAAACAAAGAATCTGTAACATAAAACCTTTTAAACAGAACATTAAGTATCTCTGTATTCTATGCCTACTAACTATCTAGGATAAAACAGAGAATTTAAAATTGATGGCCACAACTGATCAGAAACTGTTATCATCCATATTATTGATAGAGAATGAAATAAAAATAGATTATGAAAAATTGTCTATGCTTATCAGGGTTGAAATACTAAAAGAGATAATAGCCAAAGTTATTATTGAATTATTAAGCTAGTATAAGCTATTAATCTATTATTTAATCATTAAAAATGTTAAAACTTTTTTTGGTGATCCATCTAGAGAGAAAAAACAAATTATAGTTAAAATGTTTTTACTCCAACTTGATTTCTTAATAATTGTAGCAAATTTATGAGTTCATCTACTCCTACAGTTTTTGTAATCAAAGTCCTTACTATGCCACAACAGATTTTAAGTTAATAATTCTGATATCAAATTAGATTTTATGTAAGAAACAGAAAGAATTTATTGTTTAGAACAGTCACATATATAAACCATGAGACTTTTTTTCTGAAAATATGTATTTATTAAAATATACATTTAGTTATGCCAGATTTTATTTTCTGGCCTTACCAATAAATTTCTAGATTTCTCTGATTTTCTAGCCTCACCAATAAATTTCTAGATTTCTCTAATTATCTTTAATATTTTAGGTTTAGTAAACTTGATCATTCAAGTCACTGAGATATAAATATATAAGTATTATCACCAAGAGCTTTATGCACTTTAATTCATTTACTTCTCATGTTAACCCTTGATAACAATGTTATTAATTCCATTTCACAGAGGAGAAAGCCTAGGCCCAGAGAAGGCAAGTGAACAGTCCATAGTCACACATGTGTTAGAACATCATAGGAATTCAAACACAGAGCTGTCAACCCTCAAAGATGATGCTCTGCTTCTCGAGAGCACTATTTTTATGTTCTTTAAGCTAAAATATCTTAATTCATATCTTACCAAGGACAAAATATCTGGAAATATAAATATTAAACAAACCATCTAATTTCAAGTCAAAACCACACACATAGTTGTAAAGTCTTTAGGGAATAACAAAAGATTATACAAACATCTAGCATTATAAAATGCTAGCTAGATAAACCAGTCTCTTAAGAGGTCATGACCAGCAAAACATGTGTCCTTTCCACCAAAAGCAAGGAGTGAACCTCATCTCTCATAGTTTATTAGGGTGTTTTTTTTTTCCTTTTTTTTTGAGACAGAGTCTCGCTTTGTTGCCCAGGCTGGAATAAAGTGGCACGATCTCGGCTCACTGCAAACCTCCACCTCCTGAGTTCAAGTGATTCTCCTGTCTCAGCCTCCCCAGTAGCTAGGATTACAGGTGCCCACCACCACATTCAGCTAATTTTTTTTGTATTTTTATTAGAGATGGGGTTTTACCATGTTGGCCAGGCTGGTTTCAAACTCCTGACCTCAAGTGATCCTCCCATCTCAGCCTCCCAAAGTGCTGGGATTACAGGTGTGAGCCACTGGGCCTGGCCTACGTTTTCTTTTAAATAAGTAAAGAGCTTAATATTCTGTTTGCTTATTTTAAACATAATTACAAGGCTTTAAAATATTTTCTTTTCCTCCATAGTAGATACTAACATTTACACTTGTTACTATATGCTTTATAAAAGAGATAAACTTTTTAACACTTCATTATTTCTTAGTAGCCTTATTAAAGGCAGTCTCTGTGCATTAGGAACAGTATTTTTTTTAACCTTGCTTTCCTACTTTGCTGTTTAAGTATCATTTCATGCCTATTGTATTATTTCTGCCATCAGGAGCCATTATCATTTCTGTAAGCTAATATTATAAAATCAATACCTTTTAGGTTGCCCAAGAATTCATCTGTAATTCTTTATCTTTAAAAAGGTAAAATGTTTGCATATTTATCCTACAAATTTTACAAAAACAAATTTAAAGAATTTTTAAAATCTCATTCATCATAAGCACCAACTATCAAATCCAAATTCAGTTATTTACATTTGACACGCATGTAATTTTTACATGTGATGTGAACACATAATGAGATTTTGTTCCAGAATTAAAGAACTTAAGTGAGTCCCACATGATCCGTTAGTGGCAATAAATCATAATTGGTCTCATTCTAAATAAAATAAGTACATAAATAGTAAGAATTTTCATTCAAGAAAATGAACAGCAGACCTACCAACTAAAACTTATTTCAATATTTTTACTTTTGTGGAAATGTTGTAAGATCTCATCAACGTATACTTTTTGACATTCTGAATTCACACTTTATTGTGTAAATTAACATTATTTCATATAGGCTTAAGCTCACTGGCATAAGTAAATAACAGTGATTTTTAGAATGAGTAATAATAGAAAGAAGAATGAAAGATGAGAGGGAACTTCAGGACCTTAGAAATGCGAGGCCTTGGCCGTGGCTTATGCCTGTAATCTCAGCACTTTGGGAGGCCAAGGTGGGCGGATCACATGAGGTCAGGAGTTTGAGACCATCCTGGCCAACATGGCGAAACCCCGTCTCTACTAAAAATACAAAAATTAGCCGGGCGTGGTGGTGCATGCCTGTAATTCCAGCTACTCGGGAGGTTGAGGCAGGAGAATTGCTTGAACCCAGGGTGGTGGAGGTTGCAGTGAGCCGAGATTGCGCCATTGCACTCCAGCCTGGGCAACAGAGCAAGACTATGTCTCCAAAAAAAAAAAAAAAAAAAAAAAACAAGGAAAAAGAAAAAAGAAAAGAAAAAAAAAGAAATGCGAGGCCTTCTTTCCACATCTCCTAACTGGGCTTCCTTCCCTAACTCCAGGGCACCCAGTGGGTGAGCTCCACCCAGGAGGATGTGGAGCCCTTCCTGTGCATCCTTCTGCCAGCCACTATCCTGCTCTTCCTGGCCTTTCTGCTGTTGTTCCTGTACCGCCGCTGCAAGTCCCCGCCACCCCAGGGGCAGGTGTTCAGCATTGACCTACCAGAGCACCCACCTGCAGAAGAGGTGACAGACCTCCTGCCCGGCCTGGCCTGGGGCAGTGAGGACTTCCCCTACTCCCTATTGCCCCCGGAGGCCACTCTCCCCTCCCAGTGTTTACTGCCCTCCTACGAGGAGGCCACCAGAAATCCTCCTGGGGAGGAGGCCCGGGGATGCAGTCCTTCAGTATGAAGAGGGCTCACATGGACTGGAAGGGCAAAAATAAACTGCTCTTGGGAATCATATAAAACATAGCTCTCCACCTTTAACAGAGCGCCCATGAGAAGAAGGAGAAGGACCCCTAGACACAAGAAGCTGCTATTCATTGGCCAACCTCTGCCAATGGAGCACTTCAAGCTGAGGGCAAAGCTTGACAAATGCCAATCTAGTTAACTTATTTTCACATTCCTTAGGGAAAATTTCCCCAGGTTCTTCTAAAGATGATTGCACTCTCCTAAAATGTATAACACTCCTGAGAAAAAAAGTTCTATGTGAGTTGAAAAAAAACCAAATTGAATTACTAATGAGCAAAGGAACGGACTCTGAAGGGCAAGAAAAAAAAATTCTGGACCAGCCAAAGGTAACTACTTTTGCCACCAAATATAACTTTTCTCCCCACACCAGGTTTTCAGGGTTTCATGGTTTGTTTCACTTCTGTATGAATGCTCCAAGATACAGAGAGAGTTCTAGAAGGAGTAAAAGACATCTCTAGAGCTGCAGGGGATAGTTGTGTTGTCAATAACGGTGAAATATATTACAGTTTTAGCAATGAAAATTAGATATTTGCAAACATTTTAGTTAAAAAAATAATAATAAAGCTCTCCAAAGTTATTTTCTTTGTAGTAACCTTGCTTATCTGTCTTCTGATTTGCTTCCTCAAATGTGGGAGAGATGTGGCTTAGTGACATGGGAATGTCTCACACTAGGATATTATGGGTCATCTGACAGTGCTGTGGCAAAAGAGAGAGCTTCTGCTATAACACATTATCTTATTAGATAGCACTTATTATCTTCTTATATAACACTACCATATAATATGTCGTGTATAGCACTGTGACTGAGTTTTTAAGCTTCACCAAGCAACAATGACAGTAGAAATCAGGTTAACATTGAAAAGGAAAGGTCAACATTTTGGATTACATGGTAAAGAAAGAACTATTAGTTCCAATAGGGACCTTACAGCCACAAAGTTCAAATTCTTGCTTTATAGACATCAAAGCTACAGCTTAGAGAGGTTAAGTGACTTGTCCAATGTAACATACCTCGTAAGAGGCAGAGCCAAGAACAGAAGCATCTTCTACTGTGCCAGATGTTCTCCCCAGAAAATTGCTAAGGTCGAATTTCACCCCATGCTCCTGGAGGATCAGGGCTCTCAGAAGGATTAGCACAGTTGAGAGTAGAATTGATATTGATACAAGATCTCCCTCTGTGATTTTTTTTTTTCTTTCTTGAGACAGGAACTTGCTCTGTCACCCAGGCTGGAGTGCAGTGGCACAAATACGGCTAACTGCTGCCTTGACCTCCTGGGAGCAAGTGATCCTCCCACTTCAGCCCCCTGAGATGTTGGGACCATAGGTGTGCACCACCATGCCCAGCTAATTTTCTATGTTTTTATAGAGACAGAATCTTGCCTTCTTGCCCAGGCTAGTCTTGAACTCTTAGGCTCAAGTAGTCCTCCCGTCTCAGCCTCCTGAAGTGCTAGAATCATGGGTGTGAACCACCACACCTGGCCTCCTCAGTGATTTTTCAAATAAGGAGACATAGGTGGGTATTACCACTTGGGAAGTACATCAAAATACCCATGGAGGTGACAAGGGAAAGCAGGAAGTGACATGTATAGTCTTAAACTCTTATTCAATGCTAGAATATTTTTGAAAACAATTTTTATTATTGTCACAATGCACAATTCAAAACTAGACATTGTGTGATGGTTCAAAATGAACAAAAATGGTGACTTAAAAAAACCCATTTTTGGGCTAGGTATGGTGGCTCACACCTGTAATCCTGGCATTTGGGGAGGCTGAGGTGGGAGGATCTCCTGCCTGGGCAACACAGTGAGACACCATTTCTACAAAAAAAAAAAAAAAAAATTAACCGGGTGTGGTGGTGCACACCTGTGGTCTCACCTACTTGGGAGGCTGAGGTGGGAGGATTGCTTGGGCCCAGGATGTTGAAGATGCAGTGGGTTGTGATCGTGTCACTGCACTCCAGTGTGGGTGACAGAAGTAGACCCTGTCTCAAAAAAAAAAAAGTCACTTTAGCATGAACATTTTTATACTAGATATGCAATGTGATAAAGTTTAAAACAACAAAATAGGCAAAAATAGAATACTTTTTAAAAATGTAACCTCATGGAAATAATAGTTGTGGTTTTGAAAACTAAAGCAAAATATAATCTATTTAGGTGAAAATCAATAGGTTTTCTTTTAAGGAAATTGTACTGACCAGTTCTCTAGCGTTCTTTAAAGGAAATAAACAAATGGAAATTCAAGAAGCTCAGCACACAACCTTCTTCAGATATATATATGTGTGTGTGTGTGTGTGTGTGTGTGTATTTTGTTGTTGTTGTTGTTGTTACAGAGTCTCGCTCTGTCACCCAGGCTGGAGTGCAATGGCGTGAGCTGGGCTTATTGCAGCCTCTGCCTCCCAGGTTCAAGTGATTCTTGTGCCTCAGCCTCCCAAGTAGCTGGAATTACAGGCATGTGCCATCACGCCTGGCTAATTTTTGTATTTTTAGTAGAGACGGGGTTTCACCATGTTCACCAGGCTGGTCTTGAACACCTGGCCTGACCAGCCACCTCAGCCTCCCAAAGTGCTGGGATTACAGGCATGAGCCACCATGCCTGGCCCACAATTTTTTTTTAATCCCAAGAATCTAGTTCTGCGAGAGATCCAGTTGATTCTTTTCTAATTGCCATTCCTCCTTCCTCCTTGCTCACAGAACCCTAATTTGGTTCTGGGATCCTGAGACTACCTGCTTAAGGCAGGCTGGGCCTTTCTAAAACCCTGAGGGTGCATCATGACATTTAATTAGGCGATCTTAATTCATTCACCAGGAACTGATTTGGTCTTTGGGACCGAAGGTGATATTTACAAGGGAGGAGGGGCTCATTCTAGAAAAGTTTGCCTCGCTGTTAAAAATAAACACATGGAAAGAAATCCCCTTGCCCTCTGCTGGATGAGCATCTGTCTGTGATGATGTTGTAGAGCAGCTGAACTAACCCTGCAACTGTCTATATTTTAATGATAGAATACCTTTCCTACTGTTTTTTGTTTTTGTTTTTTGAGACAGGGCCTTGCTCTGTCTGCCAGACTGGAGTACAGTGGCGCAATCTTGGCTCAGTGCAGCTTCAACCTCCCAGGCTCAAGCCATCCTCCTGCCTCAGCTCCCTGAGTAGCTGGGACTACAGGCATGTGCCACCACACCTAGTTAATTTTTGTATTTTTTGTAAAGCTAGGGTGCCGGGCGCGGTGGCTCACGCCTGTAATCCTAGCACTTTGGAAGGCTGAGGTGGGTGGATCACCTGAGGTCGGGAGTTCGAGACCAGCCTGACCAACATGGAGAAACCCCGTCTCTACTAAAAATACAAAATTAGCCGAGCATGGTGGCACATGCCTATAATCCTAGCTACTACGGAGGCTGAGGCAGGAGAATTGTTTGAACCTGGGAGGCAGAGGTTGCGGTGAGCTGAGATCGTGCCATTGCACTCCAGCCTGGGCAACAAGAGTGAAACTCTGTCTCAAAAAAAAAAAAAAGGAAAAAAAAAGTAAAGCTAGGGTTTTGCCACATTGCCAAGGATGGTCTTGAACACCTGAGCTCAAGTGATCCACCTGCCTCGGCCTCCCAAAGTGCTGCTGGGATTATAGGCATGAGCCGCCATACCCAGACCTTTCCTACTGTTTTAAGCCATTTAAGCCAGGCTTGCTACTTGAAGACAAAAGCATCCCAACTGCTACAATTTCTCTCTCTCTCTCTCTCTTTTTTTTTTTTTTTTTTTTGAGACAGAGTCTTGCTCTGTCACCCAGGCTGGAGTATAGTGGTGCAATCTTGGCTCACTGCAGCCTCCACCTCCCGAGTTCCAGCGATTCTCCTGCCTCAGCCTCTCAGGTAGTTGGGACTACAGGAACGTGTCACCATGCCCAGCTAATTTCTGTATTTTTAGTATAGACAGGGTTTCACCATGTTGGCCAGACTGGTCTCGAACTCCTGACCTCAAGTGAACTGCCTGCCTCAGCCTCCCAAAGTGCTAGAATTACAGGCGTGAGCCCCCATGCCCAGCTGCTACAATTTCTAACTAAGGAGATGCATTGCCATGTTTTAAACTGTTCTGATAAGACATGTAAAATAAGTAACCAATGCTAGGACTCATTAAAAATGTGATCAGTGATTTAGGGAAAGAAACATTTTGTCTTATGGAACCAAACTGAAGCAGTGAAGCAAATAAACCATAAACCAGGGGTTGCCAGACTATCTGGCCTGCAGAGCAAATCCCACTTGCAACCTGTTTCTGTATATCCTGCAAGATGATTTTCACATTTTTAAATAGTTGAAAAAACATAAAAAGGAGAATATTTGATGACACATGAAATTTACATAAATTCAAATCTCAGTGTCTAGAAATAAAGTTTTATTAAACACAGCCATGTTCACTTGCCTGTGGCTGTTTTCATGCTATGAGGTTAGAGTTGAGTAGTTGCAACAGAGACTCTTTGACCCTCAAAGCCTAAAGCATTTACTGTCTGATCCTTCAGAGAAAAAGTTTGCTGGTGACTGGACACAGTGGCTCATGCCTGTAACCACTTTGGGAGGCTGAGGAGGGAGGATTACTTGAGGCCAGGAGTTTAAGACCAGTCTGGGCAACATAGCAAGCCCACCCTCATCCTACAAAAATTTAAACCATCTCTACAAAACTCTTTAAAATATTAAAAAAAAAAAAAAAAAAAAAAGTTTGCTAGCTCTTGGATTTTAACTTTAACTGCATAGTAAAATTACTTGGAGGAACTTTTAGAAATCGGATACCAGGACCCACACAGACCAATTACATAGAATTAGAGCCAGAAGTGGCCAGGTGCAGTGGCTTATACCTGTAATCCCAGCACTTTGGGAGGCAGAGGCAGAAGGATGACTCAAGCCCAGGAGTTCAAGCCCAGCCTGGGCAACATAGCAAGGACCCATATCTAGCAAAAAAATTTTTAATTAAAAAAAAAGAAGAAAGAAAGAAATAGAGCCAGTGATTCTAATATGAAGCCAAGATTGAAAGCAATTACTCTAGGTAATATGAGTGAACCATAAAATACAGGTGAGTTTCAATGTGGACAGATTTATGTTAACAGGTTTAGAGAAAATGAGATCGGCATATACAGTTTTGGGCCTTCACCTATAAGCCAACATTCTCCGTAAACTGTTTCCTGACGCCATCGACCAAACGTGCAGCTGCAGCCAATTCAATTGACAAAGCAGGATTTGCAGGCAGAACATGGGGAACAACAGTGTAAACAGTACATCCTTGTTTAAATGTTGACACAACTGGCAAACACGAACAATCTGGTTGTTAGCACTCCAAGAAAAAGTGGAGTTGAGGAAAATCCGCAAATAGAGGCATTAAATTGTTAACAACTAAAAGGTATTTTGGGAAAAAATAATTTTAGCAAGAAAAAGTTAAGAATGGGAAATAGAATTAGTGAATAGAATGTGGACATTTCACTAAATTCAACAGCGGACCAGAAAATATCTGTATCATTTTATAAAAAGGAAATGACGTCTGCTTTTCGCTGACTTGTTAGGAAGTTGGAAGTCATCCCAACAAGAAAAAGTTGAACAAAGAGAAAAATCAACTCTTCTTAAATCCATTAGCGAAGTGAGGTCACGGGACAAACCGCCGTCCCCAAAGTTGGAGAGACAGACACAGAGAA